TCATTATATCACAATTCAGTATTTCAGATTTCAATTCTCTGTGCTCATGTTGCTGCCTAATAAGTGTTTCTTTGATTCTAACTTCTTCAACAGAATAAAATACAACTATTATGTAAAAGTTTAAGAGTCAAAAGATGCATCTAGCTATAGACATAGAACATCTATACTTTGTTGCAGAAAAAGGATTAAGGATAGAAGAATTTTATTAGTCAAGCAGCCTATTAGTAAGCCCAGAATAAAACAATCTTAAGGAAAGAGACTTAAGTAAAAGAATTTATAAATTTCAATATGTGAAGTTAGATAAAGGTTGGAAGGATAAGGGTGAGGCAGAGAAAACACTCACGAAATTGGACATGTTATAGATGAGGTTACATGGTACTCTCTGAGGACTCTAGGAAATGACATAAAATGCCAAATGATATTTTTCAGCATTTACGGTTTTGAGCCCAGACATTACTGCACCTAGAGAAGAAAGGAGGCTTATATAGCAGCTAAGAAAGGCCAGTAGAAAGGAAGAACTATGAAACAGAGAAGAAAAAATAATTTTTCTTACAGAGTATCACACTACAGCAGACTCTAAGCCTGCAACCAATCTATGGCAGAGAATACAACCCAGGCTGCACTCTAATCTAACCATCAAAATTTCCCTCACCAGTTTTCAGCAATATCCATGGCTTTTTAATTGCTTCTTTGGAAGACCTTTCTAAAATTTTTTCTTTGTAGATCCATACTGCTATTCACAATTCATAAATTTAAAAAGAACTGGAAAAATATGGTTTTTTTTTTCATTTTCACAAATCTGATGTGAAAATATATTGGCAGCAAACAATAAAGCTAACATGAACGGCTATGACTATATTTATGGTCATGATTTATTTCCCACTGAGTGAATATTAACACATTTGATTTCAGTGATATAGTTGTGCTAGAATACAGGATAATTCCTCAAGGGTTATAGGATCTTTTTAAAGTATAAAAAATTCTGAATTCAATTCCAAGGGTTTTGGATAAGTAATTATGGAAATGTGTAGTCATTCTTCCAGTTTTATGATGGTCAGTATTGAAGGCAATGCGCCATATGAGTGTTAATCTTTTAGTTCTCCAAATGTAC